TGACTATCTGATCCCACATTTCATGGAGGTTATTATTTTATTGCCATCCATGTCAAGTGACAATAAATAAATTTTTGACCAAAACATTTCAATTTAAAGTTTTTCAAATGTAAACGGTTTCCTCACTAGATGAGCACTAAAATTGGTGATAATTTCAAGCTGTTAAATAAATTATATTGATTCTTCTAACCTATGCCTTAAGAGCATAGGCTAAAAATACATTTATAATATTAATTATCATTAAAAAAAATTAAAATGTAATATTTATTTAATTAATTATTTAATTAAAACAATAACAAAAGCATGTCGGCTCAGGGTTAGGCATGGACCCTGCCCTGGGCCAAAAAAATTTGGAGAAAGTAAAAAACCTAATTGTCTAGCCCTATTTTATAGTTGAATGAATTTGAGGGAAAATAAAATATTTAGGATTTTAAGAAATTAAAATGAAAAGAACACCAAAAGAAATATAAAATATTAAGTGAAAAGAAAATTAGAAAATTAAATAGGTAGCCCATACTTTGAATAAGTAAAATATAAAAGAGGAATAGATTTAATACCTTGAAAAATGTTATTGTAAAATTTATTTCTCCTTGTGGCAAACCAATACAAACATTTTGATTCATAATTTCTCATGGTTACAATTTCCTTCTTTTCCACTTTTAATTTGTTTTATTTTTTTTTTTCTCTTTGTTTCTAGCTATCTTCACTTCCATATCTTTGTTCAGGTAACTTGAACTTTTAAAATCAATAAAACTCATTTTTTAAAAGTTAAAATTTTATTTTATATCCTCTTAATTAGATCCCTTAAAAACCAAGAATTACCCAATACAAATTTCTCAATATTATCCCATAATTTATCTAGATTAGCTTCTAATACACCATCTAACTAGGCCCTCACAAAGCTTCTAGAAGAGAATCTATACAAACACTTCTTAATTCATTGCAATAGAGGAAGATTAAAGAAGGACTGAGAGCTTGATTAGGTTTGGGTGTCATCAGAGAAGAAAGAGGAATTCATATATTTTAAAAGAATACTATAGTTACAATGCTAATCATGATATAGCATTAAATAAATATAATATAGTATTAAATAAATATATACATACAATGTTACGTGTAAATCTCTAAATAAAAAGAGTTAATTATATAATGATATCTAACATTGTAAATTTATAATTTCAAGTGGTATTGCAACAATAACATTTTCAATATTTTAATCTACTAAAATGGAATTGCCCA